TGAAGATGGGTGGACTTCAACTCCCAGAATTCCCCAACCAGCCATGTTGAAGTCCACTCATCTTCAAGCAGCCAAGGTTGAGCAACCCTGCACTAAGGTTTCAGAAAAGCAGAATCCAGATGACCACTAGATGGCAGCAAAGAGTTAAACGCCCCTTGTATCCCTTTACTGCCATCTACCATCTGAATCCTTGCAGGCAAGATCTCCTAGATAATAACATATGATGATTCTTTAAACACACTGCAGTGAGGAAGGGACACAATTGCCAATGAAGTACCAGGAAGAACCCAATTCTCTTCTCTGCCCACTAATTTGCATTCACACCACCAGTTTTCCCTCCAGGTTACTCCTCTGGTGGGCCACAGCTGTAAAAAACCTGAATGTTTAATGCTTCTGAGAAGAGGGAGATTCCATTCTATGTTGCTTGCTAAAGTTCCTTCTGCTTCTAAGGTATAGAGGTCGAACCTCTTGTGCATTTGACTAGCTCCGTCACACAAGGCCTAGCCAGGAGGCAACCCATTGGAGTCAAGCGCTGGGAAGAGTCTAGGACTTATATTCTTCCATCAGCAACTCTTTCCATGGACATTTCCCATGGTATAAATTTGATTGCAATGAAAACCATCAGTGTAAGAATGTTTCTGGAAAACTTCTAATCTAGCAAGGGAGCCTATTGCTCAAAGATATGTTGAATGGTGCATTTTATTGATTTCCTAGGTTTTCAATGTAGGAAGTTGGTTTACTGCTCTACAGTTAAAAACTCTTAGACTGGCATATTAGAAAACAAAACAATGACCAAAGAATCTGCAATATATAATAAACGTTAGAAAGGAAAAGCCATGATACAGCAAAGCAATAAAACCACATCACACTGATTAAATTGCCTTCAATGATATGCTGAACAAATAAGAGAGATCTCTACCAGACACTGGAGAACATCAGATTTGGTAACAGGCATGCTCCTGAATATGGAGTACCATGAGTGAAAAACCCACATATGAAGAATATCCTGTCTCTAATCATAACAGAGCCAGTTTGGTGTAATGGTTAAGTCACCAGGCTAGAAAGTGGGAGACTGTGAGTTCTAATCCTGCTTTAGGCACGAAGCCAACTGGGTAACCTTAGGCCAGGCCCTCTCTCTCAGACCTAGGAAGGAGGCAAGGGCAAACCACTTTTGAATTCTTGCCAAGAAAACTCCAGGGACTCGTCCAGGCAGTTGCCAGAAGGCACCAAAAAAACCATAATTTCAAATGGGGAAAGGGTAGAAAAGTACCAGATGGGTCTGAGAAAATGACTTTAAGACTCAGGCAGGCTTGGATGTATCAATCAAGTTGCAACATTTAGATTAGAATTCTAGAAAGACTTTTGAGGTGTAACCACATTGTTGGGACTTATTTCTTCACGTACTTTCCAAAGCTTGGGGTGTATTGTCTTTTAATGTGACATATTCTGTATCCTGTGAATAAAAAAATCCTAATTTGGCCCAAATGGTACCACCCAGGACCAAGAAAACCATATGATCAGATTGTAAATTCTCAACATTTGCAAAAATGTCAATCTATGGGAGGAAAGAAATGTAGAGGAATTCCAGCCAGGATTAAGCATGAACAGAGGGTACCAAATGGCAATAGACTGCCGGAAGAGATACATAACCAGTAATTGATACATGGAATTAATAGATATTGAAATTAATTGCCATCAAGTCGTTGTCGACTCTTAGCGACCACATAGACAGATATTGAAAAGAGATGTTTTAATGTAAATTAAAATCAGATGGAAGGCTTTCCCTGTCACCAAGTTACAGTGCTATCCACCCATCCGTGAGTCAACAAAAAACTTTACCCGTGTGCAGTTTGTCACCCCCTTTGACTCTCCCTATCTTGCCTCTATTCCAATGTTTCTTAACCTTAGCATCTTTAAGACATGCGGACTTCAACTCCCAGAGATTCCCCGCCCCCCCCAC